TAGTAAAACTTTTTGTTATGTTTTGGTTTTTATCTTGTGATCTTTCTTTTATTTTGATCATTGAAGTTTTATTATATTTGATTATTATTCTTTCTACATTAAAATTAAATACGGTTTCACTATTTAATTCTTTTGTTTTTTAGCTTTTAGTAAAAAATTTTATTTATTTTGATTCTTATTTTTTAATTTTTTTTATTTTGGTCATTAAAATTCTATTATGTTTTACTTTTTTTTCTTGCCTTATGCAACATAAATTTTTTTATTCTTATTTTTTTAATTTTAATTTTAATTTTTTGCTTTTAGTGAAAGTTTTATTTATTTATTTTTATCCTTCTTTTATGATATTTACTTTGTTTCAATCATTTAATTTTTATCGTGTGTAATTTTATCTCTTTTTTTTTTTTTTTTGCCAAATTCTTGATTTGAATAAGTTTTTTTTTTTTTTTTATCTTTTTGTTTTGGGTGGTCTCTCTATCTTATTAACAAATTACATATGAAAAACATATAGTAAAAATTAATCATCTAAAATTTAAAAAACTACTATATCATTATTTTAGTTACCAATTATTATACATACTTCAAATAAAATACATGTTTATGTGAAACAATATCTAATTAGCAACTTTATATTACTCAAATTTACAAACTTTTCGTTTAGCTAACTCTGTAGAAAAATATAAGATATATATTTTGGTTCTTCTTTTTTGAAATTTTTTTCGTATGATCCTTTAAAATAATTATTTTTAAATTTAGTATTTTATATGAATGAACTTATAAGAATGTTTTATAGCTCACCCTGCAGCAACGCATGAGATATATGAACACTATATCACCGTTCCACTCGTAGCTCGGCTTTTTTTACTTTGTAATTTTTAAGTTATTTCATTTTGGTCCCTAAAAAATTAAAATAAAAATTTTAATCCCCCGAGTGATGCACTATACATACCTTTTTTTTTCCTTTGGTTTTTTTCCTTGCTTTTTTCCATCAATTTATGGTCTTTTTTTTTTTTTTTTTGATTGGGTTTTAAAATTTTAAAAAATGAATCATAAATTTTTTCCACACAAACTGATAATTATATAATATATCTTTTTATATTTTAAAATTAATATATACTTTAGCTTATATTACTCATATTATTTAAATTTTATTCTTTGAATTTATCGTTTTATTTTTACAAAAATTCTCATCTAATTAATATTTTTTATATGAAATTTTATTTACTAGTATTATATAATTTACTTTTCTTTAGGTTTGAATTTTAGAATAAAATTTTAAAAAATGATTTAAAAAATGATATATATATATATATATATATATATATATATATATATATATATATATATATATATATATATATATATATATATAAGGTTAAAAGTATATTCCAAATAATTTATCTTAGTTTATTAGATATGATCAAGAAATATAAAAAAAATTATTAAATCGTTGATTTTATTAAAAATTAACTATACATCTTCCAACATAATACAAATTATTTACTATAAATATTTTTTAATATTATAGAACCAATTTATTTAGAATAAAATAATTAAAATAATTTTTTAAAGGAACCAACCAATTATTCAAATATTATTTTTTATGCTAATTTTATTGATTAATAAAATTTAAAAATTAACTATACATCTTCCAACATAATATAAATTATTTAATATAATTGTTTTTTAACATTATAGAACCAATTTATTTAGAATAAAATAAGTAAAATAATTTTGTAAAGGAACCAATCAATTATTCAAATACTAGTTTTTATGCTAATTTTATTGATTAATAAATATATATAGATCAACCCATAAAGAAGAATTATTTATTTTTTTAACCAGAGAATTTATAAAAATATTAGAAAAAATTAATTAAATAAAATATTATAATTAAAAAAATTAAAAATTAAAAATAATTTTATTTTACAGGACTTATGGCGTAACGTGGCAATCGGCTAGTAATAATTATACAAAGTGGGTTTAGAGTTTGTAATAAAAAAAGTTAACTTATAAGTAATATATTGAATAAATTTAAAGTTAATAAATTATTATAAAATTGATTTCGATAAATTTTGATTATATAAAGATATAACAAATAAAACACATGATTATATTTTTCGGTTTTTTTTTTTTTTTTTTATAGTGAAAAAAAAGAGCCATATAGTGGTCAACTTCAAACACATCAGCACTTCATACTTTAAGATGGCTATAGGCACTCAAATAGAAATTAAAAAAAAAAAATTAAAGGTTAGACATTGAGGAAAAAAAAAAAATTGGGCACCAAAAATGCTTTTTTTTTTTTTTTTTTTTTTTTTAAGAAATTGATTGTCTTGAGATTACAAAATTATTCCAATAATTTCTAATAAATATTTTTCATATCATGCTCGTGATATTTTTTTAATCATCAATAGCAATTTTTAGTACTCCGTATTAGTTAAAATTATTTTTTTAAAATTCTAAATCCTTTTACATGTCTAGATAAATTTAATATTTCATCATTTAATCTAAATATATAAGGTCAAATTAAGATTAAATTCAGAAAAACTAAAAACATATAAGATTCAATTATAATCACCATTTGAAAACAAATGGTTAGTCAATAGAGAAAGTTGTAAAAAATAAAAATTACTTCCTCTATTTAGGAAGAAGATTGACCAACATATCATAGGTGACATAAGTTTTTTTTTTTATAGCTAATAACTTATTGAACTTTTTATAGTAAGTTGAGATAAGATATAATCGATATAAATAAGTTTAGTGATCAAACATTTTGATTTGGTGTTTAAAGTGTAATATTTTTTTTATAACGGTGACGATAATGATAGAGATAATAAAGTAAAATGTGAATTAAGATAAAATGTAAATGCATTGTTAAAATCGCTTGTGCAATTCTCATAATAACAAATATATATATATATATATTTGTAATTTTTAGAATTAAAATTATATGACATTCACTATCAAAAAGAAAGTTTTGAGAGATCATACATATAAAGATTATGAAAGTATAAGAAATACATGAAATCTATTTATAATGAAGAAAGAATATATCAAAGTACAAAAGGGAATAGATATTTGATGTGAGAAAATTAAAATAAATTTTTTGAGAAAATTAAAATAAATTTTTTGAGAAAAATATATTTTTGATGTTCAATCATTGATTTTTTTTTCTATTTAGGTGCCCAACTTTTGATTTTTTTCCTGTTTCAATGCCTAATCTTTGATTTTTTTTTTATTTGAGTGCTCATAGCCACATGAAAGTATGAGATACTAATGTGTCCGGAGTTGATTGCCACATTGTAAATCTTGTTGGACACGTCGGTAAAATTAGACTTCAAGTAAACTCGGGTACCAAAACAAATAAAAATCAAAACTTAGAGTAACAAATCATGAGAAGTCAACAATTGGACATTACAATAGAAAAAAAAAATCAAAGTTTGAGCACAAAAAAAACCTTTCTTTCCTCAAATTTTATATCCGTTGAAAAAATAATGATAATGGTAAAAAATTGTTATGATAATAGTAAAAGAATTGAAAAAAAAGATAGAAAAATAATTTCATTATGAAATAAAGTGAATACGAATAATAGTAATCTCAAATAATTTTTTTTCAATCTCTACAAAAACACTTTAACACAAATTAATGAATAATCAAACTTATTTATAAGCTTCAAGATAAAAAAAGAATTAAAAAAGACTATGAATAAGGAAAATAAACATAAATAATTAAATCAATTATATTATTATTTTAATTTCTCATATTAAATGATAAATTAAACATTAAGAATTAATTTCTTAAAAATAAAAATATAACAATAATATGAATATTTATTATTTGATGTCAAAGTCAACCACGTCAAAAAAACAAGAAATTTATATATCGGAGTCGTGTTTTATATATACATATATATATACACTCACACTCAAAAGAGGTGAAAAATAAGGACCCCATGATTCGTCTGAAATGGTGGAAGGTTGCGCATGAACCGGTGGGAGTGGAGAAAAATTGAGGGGATAATATATTTTTTAAATAAAAGGTGCAAAACCATCACTGTGCTCATTAAATGCATTGACAAATAATAATAATAATAATTGCACTTACAAAACAAGGCACAGAAGGTAGCTAATTCACGGATGAAAAAGAGCGCATTGACGTAAGATCGGCAGAGCATCCAATGGCATAACCGAAGATAAACGGAAAAGGAAAGGGCATAAAAAAGGAATTGAGAGGGAGAATGTCTGAATCATTAGGAAAAGACGATAGGAGGCAGAAGAGTAATACGACGCGGCCGCCAAGTAGCATTAAAAGCGAAGAGAATTGGCAAATCCAATGGCACAAAGGAAAGCAACAACAAAGTGCGCAGTAATTTTAGTCTAGTTGAATAATAAAGGAATACTAAACTAACTATTTGTCGCCTTTTTTTGTTAATTTTTAGTCCACTATGTGTGAGGGATTACGCATAAAAAACAAAACACCCGCAAAAGTTTATACTAAAATTGAATTATGAGTCTATCTTATGCATAAACATTTCACTCTTCTAATTTGGATCGTTGCCGCTCGCTTGTCATGAGTCTAACATATCTAATATTATAGCTGTAACCGAATTTCTTATAACACTTTCTAGTCTTCAACTTTAATGTTGCGATCTAAATGTGTATTTCCAACAGCAACACTCATGACTTAGGCAATACTTTTTAGCGTCTCAACCACTGCCAAAGATTATTAATTTACTTGTCAATTAGAAGTTGAAAAGTTGTTGAACCCTTGAAATGTCTTTAACTTAGGCAAACTCTTCTTCCCGAGTTTCGCTTATTGTGATCGTAAACTAGTATAATTTGTAAATTTATATCATTTTATTAATACTAACAGCATGCAACAAAGACCACAGTTAAGCTTATAGCATGCTACAATTGATCTGATCATAATCTCTACCTTATGATCCTGAAAAGCATATTTAATAATACGAGAGCAGACTCTAAAAATACAGTAGATGGAGGAACCTAGACTTCATTACAGGGATTACTATTCCCAGAAGAACCATTCGTTGATTCATCTCCAGCTCTGATTCCATGTGAGGCCCTACCCATTCCCCTTTTGTTGGACCGACTATCCGCCTCCTCTTCCTTTTCACTAGCAAATGAAATAAACGTCTGAAGAGTTGGAGATGGAGTGACTCGACTTGAAGGCTCAGTGTCCTCCGAGTAAATGGAAAACTTCCACAGTATCTTTATTAGATATAGAAGGAGAGCAAGCCCACAGGCTACACCGCACATGAGAAAGAGGCCCCAAAAGCTTTTCAGGTGAAGTCGGTTTACATCTTCTTTTGCACCTTCTGAACTACAGGCACTTCTCTGAAGCCATTTGTCATGTATTCTTTGGAGTTCTCCAACTTCTGAAAGTTTCAGGATGGCTGCTGACATGTCAACTGCTAGGGGCGAGTCTCTTGGAAACGCCTGCAAAGTAATGACTTATAAGGAGGACTAGCCCATGTTATATGCAGAAACAATTTAAAGGATCAGTAAATGAGCTGGAGATACTCACAAATCCCCACCCACTTTTGCTGAACTCTTGACCTACGATACTGAAATCACATCGAGTAGAGAGGAAAAGTTCTACGTATGCTCGTTCATCAACCACTGCAGCAACACCTCCTTTCTGAGGACCGTCTTTCAAGGCTTTCGCATAGTCTGTATCGGAGTTGAGAGGAACAAGTCTAGACCTGGGTATGTTGTATTCCTCTGCTAGATAATTTTCAGCGAATGAACCACGCTGGTAGCCTATGCGGTCATTGCTTGATACCAAACTCTCAATCCCTTTAATGGGCGAAGTAAGTTGTTCCACCGTAAGAATCGAGGTCAAACTTGCAGTGTAGCTTGAATTGAGTATGAGGACTACGAATAGCCAAATGATTAGCACGAAGCGACCAAGTGTGCTAATGGTATTTTGTTCTGCATATATGAGAACAAGAAATGACTATTAGTTTCACAGAAGCTCCCGTGGTCTGTCTGGCAAGCAGACAAAACTATCAAAACAGGATCATTAAACTTACTATGGGCGAAAAACAATGTTGAAAAGCTAAACCTGTAGATCATGTTCAAAAGTGTTAGCCATTCGAAAATTGGATATGGAGGAAGTAAATTTTGCATATTAGATAGATAACTCAAATCGGGAAGATGGGTGTGATTGATAAACCCACATAATTGTTATATTACTTCAGACACTCACCATATAACAGTTGCAATTTGTCTTTTAGGAGGGCCTCGAAAATCATCATTCACTCTATGCTCCAAGATCCAAACAACAACTCCCACAATAAGGAAAAAGATTCCTGTTACTAGCCACATCATTGGAGTGAATGGTCTCAAGAATGCCAAAGAATTAGAGTTCAACTTCTGAACTGGGGCCACTACGACTAGGCCAGACTCCACATAAGGCTGTGTGAAATCCACAATCCTCGTTCGATTGTTGGTGATAGCCAAGTCTCCTACTGCAGCATCATAAACCTGTATAGAACAAGATAAACAAAGGTTCAGGAAAGAAAACATACAGCTTTTTCAAATCAAGTCAAAGAAATACTTTTTGTTTTTTGTACTCACTCCGGCTTCGATCAATTGCAGAAGCTGAGATATTTGGGGTTTGTTATAACCATCTCCGAATGCATGTAGTTTATATGGGACAGCATAAGGCAAAGAACTCAAAGCTGCTGTAAATACATCAATGCAGTATCCACTGAACGTATCAGTACCTTTTACTGAGACCAACTCATGATAAATGACATGATTTGGCACTGCAATTCTCAATTGCCTTCCATTGTTAGGAAAAACCCATCCGCGAGGCTTCTGTGTTGTTTGTCCAGGCCAGATTACACTTCTTAGTTCTTGACTCGAACTTGAACGATTAGGTGGCTTTGTATAAAGCATTTCCGGAGGCTCAACCGATAAGCCAGAGTAATTAGACCAGAAACCAATCCTCCTAAATCCTGTGCCGATGATGTTTATAACTTCATATGCAGGACGAACCAGGTTCCTATCCGAAGTAAACTTGATTGGCCCTGTTAAACCAGTCATATTAACCTGTAAAATGCTGTTAAGCAAACGATCCCCTCCACTGAAGACACTCAATGCATCCATTTGTAGCTTCCCTCTATGCAGCTCGGTTACACTTGGATCTTGGGAAAATGAAATATTTCCTCCCTGCTTGAAAAATGCATCAATTGCATGAGCCAGCAACCAGACAGTGTCATAAGCATATAGAGCATAAGTATTTAACCCAAAAGTGCCATCAACCATCTTATCCTGCGTCAATTTGCTCCATCCCGAAACAAATTTCCTTTTCTGTTTTGAATCTGGTGTGTACATACGCAGCGTAATAACTCCTTGAATTCCATCCAACGCTTCTGGAGAGAAAGGAGAATCAGTATCGAAGGTGCTAGAGAGCCAATCAGTAACTAGCCAGACATAACCAATTCCTGTCATCCCAAGGTGTCGTGCCACATTAAACACCTCAAGACCCCAGTCTGCATAAGCAAGAAGAACAACAATCCTAGACTCCACTAAGGTCACCTTGACCAGTTCATTGGAGATGTCATCGAGGCTCAGACTAGGGCTTATAGGAGCTTTATGTGAGATCCTACAGCGTCTCTCGGCCAACTTGTCTCCCAAAGCTGCAATTCCATTTCTCCCATGATCGTCATCTACATAGATTGCTGTTACATCTCTCCATCCGTAGTAGTCTATGATTTCAGCTATTGCAGCCATCTGAAATAGATCATTCTGTGTTGTCCTGACAAAGAATGGGTACTGAAGTGAAGATAGTGTGGGGTCTGTTGCTCCAAATGACAACAGTGGGACTTGAATTTCATCGGCGATGTGCGATACAACATGAGCAGTAGCTGAAGTCTGTGGGCCAATTATGGCCACTGTCTCACCATCCATCAAGCTTAAAGCTGTTGTAAATAAACGAATTAGCAAAATAGATATCATCACTCATAATCGTCATAAACTAAAAAAAAAAGCTTATGTCAAATAAGGATTTACCCTCAAGCATGCCAAGAAAGCCGCTATTCTTTGTGTCTTGCATTGTAAGGTTCAGCTTTGTCTCACCAAGAATAGTTTTGTTAGTGTTCACATCTTCGACTGCAGCTTCTATTGCAACCTTCGCAACTTTTCCAACAGTAGTATTAAAATTTAAAAGAGCCCCAATGTTGACAACCTTCGGTCTCGCAGTATCATTCACAGTACTGACCCCATTCGAAGATAACCCATTACCGAAAACCATTACAACCAGAAGCAAAACCCTATGCATGATGGTGCACTGCCTCACTCCCAGCCCCATAATCTCACCTTTCTGCATTGCAAAAAAAAAAAAAAAAAAAAAAAAAAAACACTTCAGAAAAATGATGAAATCAATGGAAATAATCCAAATATATATGCTCAGAGACACACCAATGCAGAACAAGGGAGTATTTAGTAGAATATGAAGCCAAAAGAAGCTAAGAACGTTTTATGCAGACAAGAAGCAAAATCCCATCCGAAAGCAAAGTTTCAATACAAACCAAGCAATTCAATCAAGCAGTAATCATAATACTTGAAAGACTTAAAGCAATGACAAGCTTCAGCTTCAAAATACATGAGCTTATTATACAACTGCCAAAATTGTTGTGTTTTTGGTGAACATGAGAACAAAATGATGCTAATTACTTGAAAGAAAAGAGAAATTACAAGAATACGATTCAAGCTATGGACATGTACCTATTATATAGAGATGGCAATGCTGTTAATCAAGTAATTAGAAATCTTTGAATTCAATATCAGAAGGTGAAAGGAAAAGAAGCCATGCATGCATCACACTTCATGTCAGTAAACAAGATCGAGGTGGACTCCACTTCATTCCACCACCTATTAGTGTGGTCAACTTACCACCCATAATGCCAGGCTACAAGTGGGAAACGAACTCATGGATGCTCTAATTTGAGATATGCAATTGAACGGGGAAGCTTCTCAATGGATTTATTTATTTTAATAATGAAATAGACTAATAGGGAAGGATTTAGTTGCACTTTGTTAAGGTCTTTATGGTGAAATATTAGACAGTCACTTAAAATTAATTTCGAGCATTTGGAGGCGTGAATTTATTTTTCGCATTCTTCTTTGGTAAACCACTAATTAATTCAGGTTAATGCTTACTTACATCCATATAATCTTTTTTTAAAAATCTTCCTATGTTATAAAAAAAATTGATAACAACAATAGAATTGAAGAGAAAAATGATGGAGAAATAATTTCAATGTAAAATAAAGTGAATATAAGATATATGAACTCCAAATAATTCTCTCAATCTCTATAAAATACTTGTACACAACCTAATAAATAATCAAGCCTATTTATTGGTTTTAAGATTAGAAATCGAATTGAAAAGTACTACAAACCATTAAAAGTACATAAATTATTGAATCAATTGTATCACCTTTTTAATTTCTCATATTGAATAATGAATTGAATCATATAAAGAATTATGAATAGTGAGAATATGAAAAGCATATGAACATTTATTATTTCATAATACTCCTCCTTGAATGTTCATTGTACAAGAAACATGTCTAGTTAAAACCTTACTTGGAAAAAGCCTAGTGGGAAAAAATCCTAGTGAAAGGAAAATAGTACAATATTCCTCGTATACATTAATCTTTAAATGGGCTCCCATGTTGAAAACATCATTTAAGATCTTTAAGATAATGCATTTCAATCTTGTGAATTATTTTCTTAAAATTTATGGTAGGTAATGCCTTAGCGAATAAATCCGTTGGATTGTCAATTTAATGTATTCTTTCTTTAATTGAATTATGTACGTAACATTATCTTCATATAATATTGTCGAATTTATTTACCGATAGATAAACCGCTTGTCTCTTGAATATGATGGATTATTGATCTCAACCAAACACATTCTCAACTTGCCTCATGAATTGGTATTTATGCATGATTTGAATAACTAGCAGCTATAATTTACTTCATAAAACATCATGATATAGTTGTATCACCATGTGTATTACATAACCCGTTTGTGATCGAGTTTTGTATGGATTAGATAAATAATTTATGTCCGAATAACCAATTAAACCTTTCTTTCATTTATTGAAGTAAGATAAGTCCATATCAATTGTTCCTTAGAGATAACGTGGTATACATTTAATTCCATTTCAATGTCTCCGTGTTAAAGCGGAATTATAACTGGTTAATAAATTTGTAAAAAATGTTATATCGACTCGGTATTATTAGCAAAATACATTAATGCACCAATTTCACTAAGATATGATACTTCGAATCAAAAAGTTCTTCGTTATCTTTTTGAGATCGAAAGGGATCTTTTGAATATTAAGTAAACGAACTACCATTGGGCTACTCAATGAATGATCTTTATATAAATCATTGTAGAACTTTTTCTATATAAATTGAATCATGAATAAAAATCTCATTTTCTAAATACTCGAACTGCGAGTCGAGATAAAATTTGGTTTTCCCAAGGTATTTCATTTCAAAATTTCTTTTTAGATAACTTTTGACACGTGGAATCTCTTCAAGAGTTCCACCGATATTTAAATCATCAATAGATACAATAATTATCATAAACCTCTTTTTGAATTTCTTTACAAAAATGCATGAAAAAATATGATTATTTTTATAACTTTTTTTTTTAAATATTTATTAAGATGAAATGTAAAAAATATAGCATAAATTAAATTTGTAAAAACTAAAGTAATAAAACAAACACTTAAATAAATTTTATAGAGATCTCTATAATTTAATTGAATATATTTTCTAAAAACATGTATTACATACTTTAGACATCTTAAGTCTTTATAGGATTTTCATATAAATATCATTTTCAATTGAAAAAATAAGTTGTGATCACATCAATTAAATGCATATATATGAAGTTTTTCATATATTTTACCAAGCTAATGAGATAACAAAATGTAATTGTACCTATTACAGGAGAATATGTCTCCTCATAGTCAATTTCGGGTTCTTACAAAAACTCTTATACTATAAATCTTGCTTTCTATCTCGAAATCTCATTTTTCTTATTTCATTTTTGCACAAATACCTATTTGTATCCTATTGACTTAACATTTTCGGGTTTTTTAACTATGAGTTCAAAAACTACTCCCTTGTAAAAGAATATTATTCTTTTTTTATTACCTTTTCATCTAGGCTAATCATGTTTATATCAACATTCTTTAATAAATTTAGGCTCGGGATCCTTATTTTCATTAAAAATATCAATTGTAATATTATATACAAAAATGTTATCAATAAATGTTTCTTTTCGGTCTTATTTTCTTTACGTATTGACATAATTTATCAAAATCTCTTGATTTTTCTCAAATATTTGGACTTCTTTTGGAAGGCTACTATCGAAATATCTTGGACTATTTTTTAAATATTTGCATTCTTTATATTTTTATCTTGATTAGTTGCCCCTTTTCTTTCCGAGATTTTTATATTTAGAACTGATCGGTCTTTCACGTTTCGAGTCCGCTTTAGATTTATTTGCTATAATATAAATAGATTATCTTTCTAAGACATCAATTCTAACAAGAGCATTCTTAGTGGGGACATGCATTTTAGTTATTCTTTTAGAATCTAATAATACGTTTGGCATTTGATTTGTAATATCTTGTAAATAAATTATCTTTTGAACTTCTAGTTCATATTGTTTTATACAAGAATCAAAACAAAATAAAGATAGATTATTCCATGTAGTTTCTTTTTTCTAATCTTTTCAACTACTTATTTTGCTTATTCTTTTATCCTAATATTAGAAAAACTATTTCATCAAAATAACGAGTTGGTAAATTGAACTATAAAAATATCTCTTGTTCATGGTTCAAGATATTTAATTACCGAAGAGGATTCAAATCCAACATATATTCTCAATCTCTTTTAAGTGACAATTTTTAGTTTGTTACAGAGGAGAACTATGGATATATACTATATAGCTAAAAATTCTTAAATGAGAAATATTTAATTCTCTCAATCTCTACAACATGCTTATACATAAACTAATGAACAATCAAGCCTATTTATTGGCTTCAAGATTAAGAAGAAAATTGAAAGGGACTATTAACCATTAAAATTATATAAATTATTAAATCAATTGCATCATCCTTTCAATTTCTCATATTGAATAGTGAATTAAACCTCATTAAAAATTATGAGTAGTAGGGATATGAAAAACATGTGGACATATTCATATGGAGATTCATTATTTCATCACATCCTAATATTTTGTATATTAATATCATTTATGTATATTATATTATTTTCATTTTCACATCTTTTTTGTGATTGGGTTTTGTTAATGGCCTTAAGATTTGACACCTCACCGATGTATATTTTGGTATCTCTAAATGATTTTTTTTCAATTAAATCTCTATTTTTCAAATCATAAACTTGGTCAAAATTCTCATGATAGATATATAATATTATAAAAAATAAATATTTAATAAAATCATAATAATATCAACCATAATAACTAAGAACAATCGCATCCTTTTAATAAATCTAATAAAAAATGATCAAAAAGTTCAAGGATTGAGTTATTATCTTGAGTAATTTTTTTTTTTCACCTTTCGGACATATGTCAATATGCTATTTTGTTAAGTGAGGATGGATTGATTAACTTGTGTATAATACAAGAGAGTTAATTTGACATATTTGGTTTTGTAAGTATTGAATTATTATTGTTGGATCATTAAAAAATAAAATATCTAAAATAATATAAGAAAAGAAATTCAAAATCAAAGTAAAAAAATTTCATAGTTCTAAAATAATATAAGAAAAGAAATTCAAAATCAAAGTAAAAACACTTTATATTTCTAAAATAATATGAGAATTTTGATTAAGTATACTATTGACATGTAGGGATTTGATTGGAAAAAAATTATTTAGAGACTCAATTGTATTTACCATAAAGTATGATGAAAAAAAAAACGTTTCAAATAAGGACTTATTTAAAAGGACCAAAATGTACATCATTAAAAAACTTCATGCTTGTCACGTGCTAAAATTTAATGGCATTAGTAATGCAAACTAACAAAATGGTGTAATAATAACAAAAATATAACGTGCAATGATAATATTAAGACTATATATATATATATATATATATATATATATATAGTAGATGAAACTTTTAAATACAAAAGAAAGAGTACAACGATGAAAGAAAGCATTAACCCAAATTTCCTAACTATTAATGTGGCGCCCCCAACTCCCTTACCGATTACCTAAAAGACGTGGTCGGGTGTACCACAATTTAAAGATCGAAGT